AGTCTACAAAGTTTGTTCAAATAAAAGCCCTGGGGTCAAAATTGGCCCCGCCCCAGGGACATTGATTTTCCTTATATGTGTATAGCAAAAACTTAAAAATCTTCTTCTTTTTGGAAAAAACCCAAATAGCTAGAGTTTAGATATTAAGCATGAAACATCTTCTAGTAAGTGTCTACAAAGTTTGTTCAAATAAAAGCCCTGGGGTCAAAATTGGCCCACCCCAAAGGGTCATTGATTTTCCTTATATGTGTATAGCAAAAACTTAAAAATCTTCTTCGAAAAATCCGAATAGCTAGAGTTCAGATATTAAGCATGAAACATTTTCTAGTAAGTGTCTACAAAGATTGTTCAAATAAAAGCCCTTGGGTCCAAACTGGCCCTGCCCCAGGTGTTTCATTGTTTTTAACTATATGTGTAAAGAAAAAACTTGACCAGCTAGACCTTAGATATTTAGCATGAAACATCTTCTAATGGGTGTCTACCAAGTTTGTTCAAATAAAAGCCCTGGGGTTTAAACTGGCCCCACTACGGGGGCCTATATACAGGTGAGCGACTTCAGGGCCATCATGGCCCTCTTGTCTAATTTCTGCGTGTCCTTTACTTTCCCATTGTAAACAATAAAGGCGTGTGGCGTTTCTAGGGATATCAACACAAATTAACAAAAATGATGTCCATAATTTTAAAGAATTTTACTTAAATGACGTTCTAGAAGAAACATGCGATGTTTAGCGGGTTCTCTACGTAAATTATTAGTTTTTAGCAAAAAATATACGATGACTTACTGCGCTTTTCTACCTTGCGCAGGGTGCCGTGTATTTGCTTATTTAAAAGCTATATAAAATCATTATTTATTGATGCATTTAATTGTTCCTTTTTAAAATGTGTTGCTAATATTGTACAAGTTATGCTGATAAAATTTTATTACAGTACACGCTGACGTTCAAGAGATATTTCAAAAGTCCACAAAGTTTTGGATAACCCCTCGTATACCGGTACATGTTCGCCATATAATCACACCTTTTTCTGTCTGTCCATCTGTTAATTCTTATCCAGAGAATGATTTAACAAGTATTGTAGAAATTTGTTTAAAAACTTCACCCAGTGATGGAAACCTGACACATTTCTTCGCCCATGAGCTCTAGATTTAGAGGCAGACATATTTATCACTATGCCGGTATGCAATGGCTTATGTATCACAAACACCTATTGTATGGTTGTGTGTTTTAGGTATAGCTGATCCACAAGCATTGATGTTGGCAGTGTCTACATATCAAGCGTGTCATTTCATTGGTCGACCAGAATGTGAGGTAAAATGTAATGATTTTGTAATACAGATTAATTATCCCTGAATCATATTTATTTTGCTGTAAAATCGGCATGTAATTTCCATTAAAAAAGCTTCAGGAGAGGTATCAAGCAGGAATAGAGGATATTGAGTGAGTGTAAACTCAATACTGAGTTTATTGAACAAGTTGTATAATATTTTGCAAGTCTCTGAAGGGCATAATATTATTTTATTCAACGAGTTCAGTAAATTAAGTAATGTATTTACACTAATACAATATTCTTTTATCACAACTAACATAAGAACGGTTTACAGTGAAAATACTCCTTTTTATGCTCCCCGAAAAAATTTCGGGGGAGCATATAGTTGTCCGTCCGTCAGATTCTTTCATGTGAGGAAGCTATCCAGCTAGATTACTGAATGTCAGTGGATCTTCTCAGGTGCCTGAAATAATGCAGGGGCACCTGAGATCTTCCTCCACCAGTAAAGCTGGAAAGTTGCCATATGACATTTACTGTGTTGGTGTGATATGTAAAACCCAACCAAAAAAAAGAAAAAGCCCAATTTTTCTGCAAGTGACCAACTACTGATCCCACATGATATCTGTATTGGTTGCGAAAGACAAATGACCATCAATAGCCGTGATCGATTGTTACAGAGAAATTTTGCCTCACTCAAGGATTGAACTAGCAATCCCTGGGTAACAAATTGCCCAGTACAGAAGGCAATTAGTGAAAAATTTTGTCCGGAAAGTACTGTAAGTTGTCACGTGTCTCTCATAAGTACAAGATGGTTTTCTGAGCAGCACCCAACATGTCGTGTGTGTATCCTGGCAATGGTTTAAGCTACCAATATGTTAAAAGATTATGTTTTTCTGACAAAATGCATGATCAGACACTTTGAAGCTGAGAATTTTCTGTATAGGTGAGCAAATCTTTTATTTAAGTGATGTTTTAAACTGTTTCATTTTCTTTGCAGAAACCTCTTGCCGAATGTGTGGTGTACCTTTCTAGAGCCCCTAAGTCAATAGAGGCAGTCTCAGCTTATGTGAAAGCAAAGGCATGTATACACAACCATGAAGGTCCTCTCCCTGGAGTGCCTTTGCATCTCAGAAATGCTTCTACAAAACTTATGAAAAATCTTGGTGAGTGAGATGTTCTCTATTTTTGTGTCGCCTTGAAAAGGTGACATATAGGGGTTACTTTTGTCGGCGGCGTCGGCGTCGTTGTCGTTGTCGGCGTCGGCATCCCCTAAAGCTTGTCCGGAGCATAACTCAGTCACTATAAGTCTGATTGACTTCAAACTTGGTATGCATGCTTCTTTCAATAACCCGAAGTGCAGTGCACAAGGACCGGTACTCTGCAGTTCTTATTTTTGGAGTTATTGCCCTTTGTTAATTTTTATACTTTAATTTTGTCCGGGCCATTTCTCTTCAACTAAAAAAGCTATGGACTTGAAACTTCATAGGATGATAGATCTCATTAAGAAGAAATGCAGTGCACAAGAACCAGTACTCTGCACTTCCTAATTTTTAAGTTATTTCCCTTTGTTAATTTTCATACTTTATTTTTGTCCGGGCCAATTCTCCTAATGTATAAAAGCCATGGACTTGAAACTTCATAGGATGATAGGTCTCTTAAAGAAGAAGTGCAGTGCACAAGAACTGGTACTCTGCATTTCTTATTTTTTGAGTTATTGCCCTTTGTTTATTTTCATACTTTAAATTTGTCCGGGCCATTTCTCCTTAAGTATAAAAGCTATGGACTTGAAACTTCATAGGATGATAGATCTCATTATTAAGAAGTGCAGTGCACAAGAATCTGTACTCAGCATTTCTTAATTTTTGAGTTATGGCCCTTTGTTAATTTTCATACTTAATTTTTGTCCAGGCCATTTCTCCGAAAGTATAAAAGTTATGGACTTGAAACTACATAGGATGATAGATCTCATTAAAAAGAAGTGCAGTGCATATGAACTGATACTCTGCATTTCTTATTTTTGAGTAATTGCCCTTTGTTGATTTTCTTACTTTATTTTTGTCCTGGTCATTTCTCCTCAAGTATGAAAGCTATGGACTTGAAACATCATAGAATTTGATAAAAAGTGCAGTGTACAGAAACTGCTGCTCTGCACGTATTATTTTTTAGTTATTGCCCTTTGTTATTTTTCATATTTCATTTTTGTCCTGGCCATTTCCCCTAAACTACATTGCTCACAAGGCGACACATCCGACTCGCGGAGTTCTAGTTCTAATTTTATAATTGTTAAGACAATGTTTTGTGTGCAACAACCATACCCCAATCTCCAAGGTCAACATTGTCTTATTGAGAGTATATTCAGTGTCCAGGTCATAACATTTTCATTCATAAAGAGAGTTTGGAATAACTTGGCAAAAGTGTTCACCATTGTAAGATGATATACATGAGCAACACTGAGACCCCTACCTTCAAGGTCATGGTCATACTTATTGTTCAAAGCTTAAGTTAACATAGCCTGTTACAGGGCATGGTTTTTGTCCATTCCACAAGATTCCATTCATCAAAAGAATGTGAAATAAGTTTGCACAAAATTATGTTCACTGTATTAAGACAATGTGTCATGCGCAAAATCAAATGTTGACTGTCAAAGTCAAGATTACACTTTTTACTTGTCCAGAAAAGAACTATGAAAATATAAGAGAGCTTCCAGTGAATCTTAAAATATAAATAGATGACAGAGGTCAGGGAGTGCACTGTAAAAGAGCAATGCAATAACTCCAGCTTGCTTGAAGTACATTTGTATTTTCTCATATTACTTACAAGAACAATATCTCCAGCTTGAAATACATTTGTATTTTGACTTATCTTCTAGGGTACATCATACTAGGAAACTTCAATAAAGTTTTTTGTATTATACAATAAGGTATACATGTAGAAATTCTGTGAATTTGCTTGAAATGTTCGCTTTAATTTCTTGGAAGGTCAATTAAGGAAGAGTAAATCATCCTGCATATTTGATAATTGAAAAGTACATAAAACTGTATTTCAGGTTATGGAAAAGGCTACAAGTACAACCCTGCACACAAAGGACCTGTGAAACAAGAATATTTCCCAGAATGTCTAGCAGGAACTAATTTCTTTAAATAAAGTATTCTTTTAGATGAAGAGTGAACTGAAATCAAGATTTCTGTTATTATACAAGAGTTGTGTCCCTTTAACAGAGTTGTGTCCCTTGTATGATTTGTACAACTGTTATGGATAGTCATTGAGTTGATAGTATTAGATCTTCATTCATTTGATAATGGTTTGACATTGAATATTAATAGTTCCTCAAATTAAATGAAATATTTGTGAAAAATTGGTGATTGAATTTGCTTAGATACCATCTTGTTTAAATACATGGCAGAAAGCGAGCTAACAATGTGGCTTTTGTTTATGACCTATTTTTGTCAAATATGAATTTAAATGCCAATTGTGTGAGTTAAATGTGTTGATTTAATCAGAATGCTGGCATGTAAAATATCCTTAGAGACCGATCTTAAATGGTTTTAATTGTTATATATATCCTTTACTTTACAAAGTAAAAACATTCTCATGCTTACTGTTTGCAGTTTTATTTTTAACCAAAGTTGATAGTTTTGTTGAAAATCCTACCTTAAGACAGATCATTATGTCTCTCAAAATTTTTGGGAGACATTTTGTTTTTGCCTTCGCTGTACGTCCGTCCGTCTGTCAGCACTACCAAATAAGGATAGGGAGCCATCTAACTGTAAACAGAACAAAAGAGAACAATAGAGTTCATTCCGTAACAATAGAGTCAGGGGCCATTGGCCCTCTATTAAACAATAGAAAATAACATAAGAAATGGCCCCTTATTCCATTTCGGCCGGATGTCAGCATTAAGCTTGTTGGGCCGTCACAGGTCAAACTACTGTTTGGATTTCAACCAAACTTTACAGAAGTGATCAGCACCATCCCTAGTTGTGCACATCACTGGCACGTACCGCATTGCTGCACAAAATGGCCGCCAGAGCTAAAAATAGAAAAATCTTGTCCGGTCTTCACAGGTCAAAATACTAGTAGGATTTCAACCAAACTTTACAGGAGTGATCAGTTACATCCCTTGTTGTGCAGAATAGACCCATTGCAGCATGACGTCACGCGCACCTGCAAATCGATCTGGTTTCCGCCTGGTTGGCAAAAAGCACGCCATTGTTATTTACAAGTAGAGCGGAAAGTTGAAAGGTCGTATCTGTTTACAAACAAATTGTGTTAAAGCGCTTGATAATGCCAACCAGTTGTTGTGCACCAGGATGCACACAGAGATTTGAAAAGAATTCTGGGGTCAGTTTCTTCAGACTTCCTAAAGAAAAAGAGCAGAGAACCAAATGGATACTAGCGCTACGGCGAAGAGATCTTAAAGACCCAAACAAATTATGGGAGCCCTCGGCGTACGATCGTATATATATGCAGTTTACACTTCACATTAGGTACATTGGGATTTTATTATGTTTTAGGTGTCTTGATCAGCTGTCGTATTTATTCCCAAATATTTATTGGGTTTTATAACCATTTGTATCGACACACAGTACAAGAAATCTGGCAGCATTTTATGATTTAGATGTAAGGTTGTTAGATTATGATATATCTAGCTAATTTCGCGCTGAAAATTATATGACATCAAATGTTACACGTTCTCTGTCAGATATTTAAGCATTACAGCAACAGTTAATATATAATTTGCATATAATTTGTCCAAATATTTTTCAGGTCAACCATCCAAGGATCCTTAATTGTCACCCTGATTACTGTCCCAGTATCTTCTCCTTTACTCCTGCTACAAAACAAACACCAGCCAGAGCAGACAGATACCTTAGACTGAAGAAAAGAAAACTTTCTTTCACTGGTGAAAAGAACAAGGAAAACATCAATCCACTGGATATAGCTGAAGCTCTTCTTAACCTTGGTAGTGACATACCACAGACATGTGACAAAGGTAAGGCCAGAATACTGAGTATTTATTGTTTTAATCACCAAATTTACTTGTCTGTAAATCAATAGTGATACAGTCATTGAATTTAAGATTTTGAATGTACTGGCCCGAATTCCAGTTTTAAATTAATTCTACTACATATTTAGCTAACTTTTATTAAAATTAACACTGGCCCGAACTAATTTACACTGGCCATGGGCCACCGCGGCCCACCAGGCTAGTGCTAAATTTGATGACTGATGATATGTTTAAACACTTGCATTTACTTTATAATTTGATATTTCACAACAATCAATATTTAGTTTACCGGTACTTTTAAATCTAATACCCCATCATTTGTCCTTGTAATTGAAATTCAAATAATTACTTCATGACATTTAGAAATGCACAAAATGTTTAATTTGATTTTATCTTTTCAGGCACTGATCCAGACAAAGATCCATAAATAGTGAAACTGGAAAAGCTCTTCAAAAGGAATATCAACATCTTTTGGATGAAAATAGGTCACTGAAAGCCAAAATAAAGAATTTAGAGTTCACATATAAGAATTTGAGTAAAAGCCAAATGACATCAATGACAGGACTTCCATCTATTGGGGCATTTACATGGGTACTTTCATTAGCAGCGGTTGTTTTCAAACCCATAGGGAAACTTTCTATCGGTGACATGTTGCTGCTTGTTCTAATGAAGTTGCGTCTGAACTTAACAAACACTGACCTGGCCATGCGCTTTAATATAAGTCCCACAAATGCGTCCAGAATACTGTGTCATTGTTTACCTAGACTTGCAAAGTGCCTGAAATTTCTGCTAGTGTGGCCATGCAAGGGTAAAATATTGAAAAACATGCCAAGATCCTTTAAGAAGAACTATAAGAAGTGTCGCGTTATAATAGATTGCAGTGAAATATTCATTCAAAGACCAACAAATCTGGATACCCGTGCTAAAACTTGGTCTTCATATAAACATCATAATACCATGAAATTTCTCATTGGCATTACACCCTATGGTGCTGTTAGTTTTTTGTCAAAGTGCTGGGGTGGTAGAATATCAGACAAGGAGATAACTGAACGGTCAGGGTTTTATGATAATCTTGAACACGGAGACCTTGTTTTGGCCGATAGGGGCTTTCTGATATCAGATGAACTTGCTGTCAGGGGTGCATCACTCGCAATACCGCCATTTGCTATGGGTAAAGTGCAGTTCTCACAAAAAGAGATAGAATGTGGACGTAGACTTTCAAAGGCAAGAATACACGTGGAGCGGGCAATTGAACCTGTTAAGAGATTCCAAATTCTAAAGCATGTTATGCCGCTTTCTATGTTCCGACATGCAGATTCAATCTTAACTATCTGTGCTGCATTGACAAACTTAATGCCCAAATTGGTAAAATAAAGACACATGTAAATGTATGGATAACAATCTCTTTTATTTCAGCTTCTATTGGTTTAGGAAACAATGCTAAATAGAAAAATCTTGTCGGGCTTTCACAGGTCAAGCTACTGGTGGGGTTTCAATGAAACTTCACATGAGTGACCATACATTGTTTTGGGAGACATGTTTTTGTGATAAAAACCCTTCTAGTTTGTTTTACATATTCACTCATAAATTAATGAACATTGATCTTCTTTATCCTTTTATATGTTTTTAGCTCACCTGAGCACAACGTGCTTATGGTGAGCTATTGTGATCCCCCACCGTCCGTCGTTGCACGTCATCAACAATTTCTTTAAACAACAACTCCTCAGAAACCAATGACTGCACAATAACCAAACAATAACCAAACCTTGCAGGAATGATCCATGGGTGGTCCCCTGCCAAAGTTGTTGAAATGGTTCCGGTCTGTTGCATAAGTAGGTCACGGGGCAGAAAAGGAGTTTAAAAAATACAAACTTTAAAAATCTATAGAAAAAAATCGCAAAAGAGCTTTGATATTTTGTATACGTTATCACCTATAGGTCCTCTACTTAAGTTTTTCAAATTATATCCCTGGGGTCAAAATTGGCCCCATCCGAGGGGTTCATAGGTTTTCCTTATTTGTATATAGAAAACACTTAGAAAATCTTCTTGTCTGAAGGTACAAGGCTTAATTAGAGCTTAGATATTTGGTATGTAATATCACCTATAGGTCCTCTACCAAAGTTATTCAAATTATAGCCCTGTGGACAAAATTAACCACGCACCAGGGGATCATAGGTTTTCCTTATATGTATATAGTAAAAACTTAAAAAATCTTCTTGTTTGAAGGTACAAGGCTTAGAGCTTAGATATTTGGTATATGATATCCTATAGGTCCTGTACCAAAACTGTTCAAATTATAGTCCTGGGGTCAAAATTGGACCCGCCCCAGGGGATCATAGGTTCTCCTTATATGTATATAGTAAAAACTTAAAAAGTCTTCTTGTTTGAAGGTTTAAGGCTTAGAGCTTAGATACAATGTATTTGGTATATAATATCATCTATAGGTCCTCTACCAAGATTGTTCAAATTATAGCCCTTGGGTCAAAATTGGCCCCGCCCCGGGGGTCATAGGCTTTCCTTGTATGTATTTTGTAAAAACTTAAAAAATCTTCTACTCTGAATTGACAAAGGCTAGAGGCTAGATATTTGGCATGAACCATTGTGTAGTGGAACTCTACCAAGATTGTTCAAATTAAAGCCCTAGGGTCAAAATTGAATATAAGACCTGGTAACTTTTTTTGTATATGAATTGCATTTAGTACTCGGGTGAGCGCATTGGGGCCAATGGCCCCCTTGTCTTTTATACAGGTTGTTTGCATTGTTAAAGGATAGTCAGTTATGTAAGAAAAAAGCTATATAACTAATGTTTATGTTTTTTTATAACCGACTATAAATAAAGATTTATGATTATCTAATCTTACCCGTAGTTGTGCATGGCCCGCTTTGCTGCACAAAATGGCCGCCAGAGTTATAACTAGAAAATCTTGTCCGTCTTTCAAAGGTCAAGCTAATGGTGGGATTTCAATGAAACTTCACATGAGTGACCATACATAGCTTTGGGAGACATATGTTTTTGTGACAAAAACCCTTCATAGTTTTCTTTAATATTCAGTTAACTTACAATCAATGGTTTGTGTAGCACTTTTTACGACCGTCCAGTATGTGTCCTGTTAAACATTATACAAACAATAGACTAGATTGGCCAGAGATGACTAAGCTATTATACAGATTGAAAAACATGGTACCTATTTAATACTGCCACACTGCACATTGCATTCATTATATTGATGTACACGTATATAAAAATCAACAAAAAATAAACCGAATCCATTTTAAGCATTTTTATTAAGCAATCTGGGTTGACTAAAGACATTTGGCTCTGGTCATGATTGATGCAATGTTTCATGTAATGTTCACAGACTCGCTTGTAAAGTTATTTTGATTTGGTAGTCTAGTCTCAAATTTAACTGTTTCATTTGAGAGATAATATAGAAATTGAAAGCTTTAACTGGTTTTCAAGTAATGTCAAACTTTTGACTGTACTAATAAGCGGGGGGGGGATTAATCAAAATGATTTTTTACTTCATGAACAAACTTGTCTGTTCAAAAACGTTTTGTTTGAAAACTGCCAAATAGTTTGTCATTTAACAAAAGCAATAATCTATAGAAAAAAATCGCAAATGATGTTGAATTACAAATGATAGCTATTGAATTTTATAATAAATCATGTCTACGTATGTCATGAATAGGCTTTATAAGGTTATTTTCATAGATATTTGTAAAATGAAGAACAGTACGGGAAAATCGATCAGTTATACACGTGTATTGGTTACACGCACTGACTATTTTTATACTTTATGTTTATTCTATAAGAGTGCATTAGATAGAATAATATGTTCCACTTGGTTTATTGTCGTCAATATATATACATGTAGTTATATCAATATCTACAATGTGATAAATACAGTGTATTAGTTTTACGCAATTTATGCTTATTAGTGCTGCAAATAGACTCCAATAACTCGCTTATTTAGGGGAGTAACTGGTCCCCGATCATAAACAGGGGGTTTCATATACCAAAATGTTCGGTTGGGTCCCTATATTTCGAAATAGGATTTCATTTTTGCCATAAGTGCTGGCGGACTAAGAAATCCAAGATGGCGTCCAAGATGGCCGCCAAAAATATGAAAATAATCATTTATTATTTATTACTTAAATTTGCAAGCATTACCTTTTAAAAAAAGTTGTTTTTTAAACATTTTGATATTAAATATATTTATTAAATTTAGTTTTAGTATCTATTAATAATGTTAGTAGAATTTTTATGATAAAAACCGATAATTAAGGCTAAATATTTCTAAAAATTGCTGTTTTTTTAAATATGTGCTTTACATTTTCTATTTTTTTCTTGCAATTCAATAATGATTTGTTTCCTTATGACTGATTTACAGGAAACAACTTTTTTTACAAACAAAATGTGCCAATGAAAGTTATCATTTTAGTATAATTTTTAAGAAAATGTGTTTTTAAGTGGGTTGGGTAAAATGGTAATTTTATTAAAATTTAAAAATACTTCAGATTACTTTATATTGACTGTCTAAAAGACTTGAATCTACTCCTTATTACATATTTCAGAGTCATTGCTCAATAGACAATGCCCTAGTTGTGAAATATGAGGAAAATACATGTGTTTTTTTTTTCAATTTAAAACCTGTGACTTAATGTTTTAACAGTCAATTTTTGCACTTTCTTTCTTTTCCCTCAAAATATTTTATACATATGAATTCTTTCTGGCATATTTTATCAGTAAATAAAACATGGAGAATTTGTTTTTCTTTCCATGACGTGTTCTACTTTAATTGTCATTTAAGTATGACACTGAGTTGATGGGGTACATAGCAAATGTATTTAATACTGTTGGGAATTTGCAATATTTGAAGATAAACAAAATTTAAAGAAATTAATGTTTGAAATTTCATTGCATCATTTTATCAAATATGTTTCAAAATGCAGTTATATTGTCACTTGTATGAAATAAGTATTTTCCATGTAAAAATAGGAAAACAAGAAGGCCTGATGGTCCTGGCTCCCTCACCTGATATATTCTGCAGAAAAGGTCCAAATTTTAAATTTTAAGTGTTGATTTAAAGTCAGTAATGAGGTTACATTGGGTTTGTCATTTTTTACACAAGCTGATTTAAAAAAGAATATTTGTAGAATGCCCAATGATGAATATCTATCAAAGCCTGTAGCATTGTAGTTTCATAATTTCATAACTAAGACTTAAATGTATTTTCCTATATCCAAGTCAATATAAACTAAGTGACCCCAGGTTAGAGCTAATTTTGACCCCACAGCGATGGTTTATATTATTTTTGTAGAGTCCTTTTCAAAGAAACATCAGGCATGCACTTGGAGTCAAAAGTCCACTCTTAATAAAGGTCATTAAGTTTTAGCAGACTTACATAGTACATGTAAAACATATTTTGAGTTTTTTATGTAAAATTACAATGCCCAAGGCTTTGATATTTGGCATGTATTATTGCTTAGTGGTCATAATACAAATGTTTGACCTCTTAAAAAATGACAACCTAATGTGGCCTTATTACTGACTTTTGAATCGCAGAATTGTGACCTTTTCCAGTAATATTTCTCAAGTACAGGACCATAATGGCCCCCTTTTTAATACTTATTAGCAGCTTGAACGTAGAAGAGCGGACATGAATATTATGCAAACAGATTCCTGCAAACAAACCCTTTCCCTAAGCGGCAGGGGAGTAATAGATAAATTATAGCCTGCATGTTGAACAAAACTGATCTGAAGAAATTTTAGAAACGTAGATGTAAAATAATTTCACATAAAGCAAACTTTAGGAAAATAGATTAACAAAAAAACAAAGCATCACTAGAAACTTTTCAATAAAGTCGAACTGGTAAATACAGTAACCAATAGTTTCCTTCATTACTCATTAATTAAAGGCCTCAGAAACAAATATCTTTTTACTTCTTTAGAAAGGGCAAACATAAATTTTATAATGTTGGAATAATGGTTTTAGAGAATGTTTGGTACTTGTTATCTTACGAAAGTAGCACTAAATGTAAAATAATTTGTCATAAAAGTAGCAAAATGTAAACAAAGTAGTATTTTGACTTCTATACAGAATACTATAACTGTACTTATTGCCAAAAAGAAACAGATGAAAAAGATAGTTTTGGTAATTAGCCAATGAGTAATTATTTGGATACTATAAAAGATAACAAACATGAAAAAGCTTTCTGAGAAATAAAAATGAAATCATTTCTGAGGCATAATGGGCCTTTAAGATTTAACTCTATGGATATTAATTTAATTTAATCCACAAAAAATTGCATCCCTTTATGCATGTCTGCTATAAGTAATCATTGTGCTCAAAGAGCGAAATCTATTTTTAAAATAATAGTATATTTTTCATAATTTCGACAATGACCAACAATTGTTATATAAAAGTAAGCACAGCAAGTGCATTTCAGAATGATAATATCTGTAACATGCAGCAGTTCGGACTGAAATATCCGTCCTAAGGTTACCTAACAAAGTCAACAGAGTTGCTGGGTAGCTCATGGGCGGTTTCAGAGAGACAGATATTCCGATCTGAACAGCAAACAGGTCTTTCTTCCATAGATATAATATATTCTATCATATTTTAAATAGTTAACCTCAATAATTAGCTTTTCATGGAAATTAATGTCAATTCAATCCTTTACTATTTTAATACAGTTCTTAATCATTTTAACATATTTAAAATTTTGATTTTTATTGCATTTTCGAACTTATAAATTTTGCAACATCGTAAAATATAGTATTTTCTATCCACTCATTCAGTAAAAATATTGATAGACATTTTTGTGTATAACATATGAAAAAGAAAAGCTAAAATCTTAATATTCAGGGTGGGGCGTCCGTGGCGAGTGGTCGTGGCTTTCAAAATTTTTGTTCCTCACCGCTGTGGGTTCAAATCCCGACAGGGACTTTGGATCTTTCATGTGAGGAAGCTATCCAGCTAGCTTACGCAGCGGCGTGCGTGGGTGGTTATACTCAGGATGCCCGTTCGTGCCTGAAATAATGCACGGAAGGGCACCTGAGGTCAATATCTTACAGTAAAGTTGGACATCGCCATATAACCTGTGACGTAAAACCCAATCAAACAAACAAACTAAATATTGGTTTCTAAAATTTACTTACTTTATATGTTAGAAAGATATGTTGTAAAAGTTAATGAAGAAGGGAAAAGAAATAAGGAACGTGTAAACAGATTTGCTGTTTAAATTTTAAGCATTTAAAATTGAAATTATACTTATATTCTCAATATTTCACAATTGAGTGCATTGTCTATTACAGCATTTGAGCAATGACTCTGAAATTTCATAGCTAAATGTAAGTCTGTTGAAGTTGTCATACAAAAGTCTATATTATGGATACTGCTAGTATTTGAAATTATTAATAATAAAATTAATCAACCTCCCAAAATACCCCACTTAAATTTGGAATACCACCACTATCCCAAAAAATCGTTAAATAAATGAAAAAATTTTTTAATGTTAGAAATTTGAATTTAACAAGAGCCACCACCAAAATTAATAACTTTGACCATGATGTCAAGTCATTTAAAAGTTAAAGTAAGTTCAATCTTTAGAAGGTACTTGTCCAAAAAGTTGTTTTGTCCCAAAGTATAAATAATCCATTGATTAATACAATTTACACCCCCAATTATTTGATAATCTGTTAAATTCAATAAATTCTTTAAGGTCAAGGTCATTTCATGAGTTAAGTAAATTTTTAATAAATATACACAAAAAGGTCCTGACCTAAAATGTCTGGAAATAAAGGTTTATCAAGTTTATAAATAACCAAATTATAGCCAGTTAAAAAAACCAAAAATGAAACAAAGAGAATTTTCATTACTTTGACATTAACAGTCATGTTTCAACCTAAGTCAAGGCAACTCTTAATTATTAAATATAATATACTATTAAAACAAGTTGTGTATAAATGAAATCCAGTACAAAATACAAAATTTTGACAATTTAAAAACTTTACTATTCACAGTCAACCGTTATTTAAGTTACAAGTTCAAAGTGCAGTTCCACCTTTTATTTTCATTTTAATTACATTTTTTCGGATAGTGTGTCTTGTCCAAAAGTGTTGTTTTCAATTGTATAAAGATAATCCATAAATCAAGTTACTATGATACAGCCAATCTGTAGCAAAATACCAGTGGAAATTCAATTATTTTACCTTCAGGTCAATGTCATAAAAAGGCCAAGGTCAATTTAATTTATACATGAAAAGTCAATTCCTAAAGAAGTGTTTATTAATTGAAGTGACCATTTATCATTAACAAATATATAGCCATTTACGGCCCCCCCCCCCCCCTCCACACACAACAGAAAAAAAAAAATTCTATAATTTGACCTTCAGGTGTCAATGTTATTTATTGAAAGTGAAGATCAAGTCTGTTCTGTGTTAACTCAAGTCTATCTAAAAAATTAGTATGTTCAAGTTTGAAGACCAATCCATTAAAAATAACAAGTTCATCTAATAGCAAAAATCAGAAAAAATAAAGCAAATTTGACATTTGACCTTGCAGTCAAGGTTATTATGAAGAAGTCAAATTTAGTCTGTCACTTAAAGATCTTGCCCCAAGGTTTGATGTGGCCAAGTATGAAGACAAAACATAAGGAGATTAAAAGTAATGATCACAGTTAAAGTTTGCCTGACCGGAAACGTCAACACCGACATGACTATAACAATACCTTTATTCTTTTAATTATTTTTTTTTATCTATTTTTATTTATATTTTTTAAAAGTCGAGATAAACATGTTGTTTTCTTTAAAATCAGTCATTTATAATTAATTTTTTTATTAAAAAGAGAGAAAAAAATCAAGAAATTGTATCAAGTAATTTTTAAAATCACATTTTTTTTCCGTATATTTTTCGTAATTATTTTTGTTTTTTATCATCAAAAATATAATTAACCTTAAAATACATATTAAAACTGCATTTAAGGAACACAATTAATTTACAGAATGAAAAGAAAGAACTATTGCTAAGTTTTAACTGCCAAAATTCAATAATATAAAGTAAATTATAATTTTCATATTTTTGGCGGCCATCTTGGACGCCATCTTGAATTTCTTAGTCCGCCAGCACTTTCGGGGAAAATGAAATTCAATTTCGTAATCTGGGGACTCAACCGAACATTTTGGTATATGAAACCCCCTGTTTATGATCGGGGACCAGTTAGGTGTTCCTAAGCTTAACAAATTTGCAGCACTATATAATGTACAGATTCATATTATGAAATAGTGAAGTTTTATATTCAATTTGGACAAATGAAAACAGTTTCATAATGAAGGAAGATTTTCTATTATTAAAGTATTGTACTTAACTTGAATATAGAATAGTCAAATACTGACTACCTTACAGAGTGGGTCATTTTCATTCAGTAATAGAAAATACACGATTGGACATAAAATGGCTTATTGTAGGTAAAGTGAACTATCAACAACAAAATATTAATACGAACCATCGAAACGTACATGAAATGAAACGCGATGTTATGTGGAAATAATTTTAAAAAACGATATTTAGTGTTACATTTCAAAAGCACTCATGGAAGGCAATGCTTATTTAAACTGGGACGTCGGGTATCGGAATGAAAACAACGATACAGCACTTCATGTTGCAATTTCGAACGATGCTGATATTGACATACTTAGAGCCCTCTTTGAGAAGAAAGCAGATGTAAATGCATTGAATGATGATGGAAAGACGCCATTTGAATGTATCCGCCACGGCTCTTGGGAAACCGCAATTAACATTCTAAAATTGGAGAAAGATTTTGACCTAAGAGACGATAATGGTGATAGTTTTCTGCATGTGTTGATGGATAGAGTTGGGGATAGTGTTTGGGGAATAAGAAACACCCTCGATGGTGAAGTAGAATTTGGACATTCAGATCAAGAACAAATGCTGAAGAAATTTTGGGATTTTATTCTTGAAAATATAGATCAGTTTGAAATAAAATTGAATTTACAGAATTGCTATGGATGTACACCATTGCATATAGCAGCTGATTATTGGCCATCAATGAAAAGTCTTGAAGTAATGCTGTCCTCTTTTAAACATCTTAATCCATACATTTGCGATGTAGAAGGTGAAAACTTCTTCCATAGATATTTTCTTAGGCACAGGGGTTTGTATACACCAATGTTTCAAACAAAAATGCTTAGAGGTGAGCTTAGGTTTTTGCCAAGAGAAACAATTTCCAAACTTCTCAACAGCCAAAATAATGACAAAAACACGCCTTTGCACATTCTTATAAAACTCGGCGAGGGAAAGGCTATAACTGACTTTGAAGACATTCTTCAAGGAGGGGCAGATCCAAATATAAAAGACTGGATCGGAGACACGGCTCTTCATTGCATTTTCAAAAAATACTTAAACCAATTAGAGGAAGACACAGGTGAAGATGACGAGGATTCTGAGTTTTCTAAACTCATCAATAATTTAACAAATGAATTCATAAAATGCTTAGCTTTACACGGAGCAGACGTGAACGCTAGGAATAAAAAAGGGGAGTCTCCTATATTCCTTGCCAAGCGGAAAGAACATATAGATACACTACTTGATCTAGGTGCTGACGTAAATGTAAAGAACAATCTTCAGCAAACACCATTACTCTATTTCGTATGTAAAGAGAATGTTGAATTAGATACTTTATCCAATTTGCTTAAAAGCGGAAGTGACGTGCTTTACAATGATGTCCACGGAAATACTGTATTACATTACATTGCCTGGCATGGCTACCATAGAGATTTTTTACCTTTTTTAAAAAGCTACAAAATAACAGCCATTCGAGATAAACTTGGACAACTACCGTGTGATGTAGCCTACATGCAAGGGCACAAAGCAATTTTTGATGACATATGTGAATGTTCTAATGAATCACATCCTAACCGAGATCATTTATATCTGACTAGCGACAGTATTCAACTGAATGTATTGAAGTCGGCTTCTCGGGAATTTCAAGAAAAGATCGATTGTATAAGACAACACACAGGTAAATGTGAAAATATTGCAAATGTTTTGAGGTTCCCTTGTATTGGCGCTATATTTTTCGAGGGAGAAACTGCTGAGGTAAAAGATGTGACGAAACAAATTGTAGAAAGCATTTGTAAAAAGTTGGCGGACAAAAGTGAACTTTGGAAATGCAGGATAATACAATCTGGAAGCGTTGGAGAAAATACAAAAGTTAGTTACCCAAATGAGTTTGATTTTGTTATAGTAATAGAAAAGCTAGGAGAAATTTGTTACGTGGATGAGCAGAAGTCAATGCAGGATCAGGGTTATGCTTATCTTAAGCTAAAACCAGAGCTTGCATCAGAGGAGATAAGTAAATATTTTGATGATGAAGGTTATCTTATAACTGACGAAGTCCGACGTGAACTTTGTGACATCTTAGACGAGCTTTATACAAATGAAAGTCCGTTTAATCATCCAAATATCTCGTTTGTTGTGGGCAATAACAAAGCAATAATAAGCCCAACATTTAACTTTACCTTCTACTGGAAGGGTTGTCTGTACAAAAATCTTCTTGTTGACATAGATCTTGTTCCAGCTTGCATGGTAAAAAACTGGTGGCCTGCTGGTACGAATATTGATGAGCTGGAGGGTGATCAAAAAACGCTGAAAGATCAAGGTGCTATACTTCTTTTACAGACTGAAGTGAGTGGTATAGAAAATAAGCCCCAGAACAAGTTAAGAATATCAGCAATGAGTGCTGAAAAAGAACATATTTTACATCTTCCGGAAATAGCAAGAGATGCTTATAAAGTTTGCAAGATTATGTGCGACAAACGGATCTGTCCTGATTTATGTATAAAGAATTTCAGGATTCCTATAAAAAGGATACTCACAAGTTATATGCTCAAAAATGCGGTATTTCATGCAATTAATGACTTTAAGACAGGTGACCAGAGTAAAAACAGTGAGTTCAAAATGTCGAATTTTAACAAAAATTTGACAATCCAAACAATAGTGCAAAATACGTTTTTAAAATTGATGAAATTCGTCAAAGAAGAAAGGTTACCATCTTTTGTATTTCCGTGGCAGAATGTATTTACATTCAACTCAAAGGTCCTTCCACTTCACAACCACTATTTCTGTGCAGTGGGGTATGCCTTCATCAAAATCATTATTTCAATCATAAAGGAGATGCAAGATTTCTCAGATGTAGATGAACCATCGTGTATGTTAGCCGTTAAAGAGAGAAAAAAGGCGAAAGACATGCATGGCGATGAAAGTGACGATGAAGACGGAGAGGCTGGTGACCTGGACTTATAAAAGGCCTACAGATTGTGTCATTACTCTCTCCTATAAACAAAAATGTCGATGCTGTTTTCACAGAAAATGTTTTGTCTCTGATTTCCTCACTTTTTCATCTTTTTATAGGCTATGTAATCGTTGTGATTAAAACAACAAAACTATATTGACTTGTGTTATTTATAAATATATTTTGGCAGGTAACATTTGAATTGTGCACACATCGGGCAGCAGTCAAATGGAGAAATATGCAAATTGTTACTATGGAGCCTCTTTTGTTGATTGGTTAAAGTCGTTGATTTCAGACCTGTGAGTTCGAATCCCGCCAGGGACTGAATTTTTTCACGTGAGGAAGTCAGCAAGAGTAGGAGATGGTATTGGTTTCGTCTTGTCTCTCAGTCTCTTAGTGGTCTGTTATTACCATGACAATACCATGTTCACTCTGAAAGCTAGTACATGTATTATACTTGGACACAACATACCCAAGGACGTTATTTTACCCTGATACATATTTGATCAAATTTCAAGGTTATTGTTTCTTATAATACTATTTCTTTAACTATGTAATTTATTTACTGATTTTTGGACGGAGACGTATGATATAAGAAAATAAACAAAATGTATTGCGCGCTCTGTAATCTAGAAAATCAATTATGTCGTACATGTATATGATATTTTTTCCTGTGTGCCGCGTGGCATCTGCAATTTTAAATGTTCCATGTACATGTCATTATTTATGTTATGTTTTCGTTCTGTGAAGATAGTTAAGCACGATATTCTAAGCATTTATGTTTTTTTTTAATTTCATCCAAATTCATCCTTTAATGCTAGGTTGGTTCTTTATTGAATATTGTTTGATTACCCTTGGGATATGTTACCTGTATCAGGATGTGTTGACAGGCGGCTGGGAATGTGGAAATTGTATTTGGCAGTCCGCCCTGCCGTTTTTGCCAAAGTGTACCTTAAAAAAGCAATTGCGATATCAACTTGAAACTTCATCATAATATTGTTCTGCACCTCGTTCTGATTCAGGAGAAGTGCTGTGACCTTGTTTTGAGTAACATGTATTGCCCTTTGACATTTTATTCTCCCAGAATGTAGAGCATATCATCGCCGCGTTGGCCATCCTTCTATCCGTCCGTTCGGGTGTATGCACTTACGAGAGGATACTTTTGTTGCCACAGAAACAATAGGTAACTAATCTTTATTTAATGTCATTTATTCCGTAAGCTTTTATGTGGCTATTTTCCTTTATGCGGCTAATAGAAACTGGAGTAGACTCGTAATTTAAGTTCATTCTCGTTAGTGCGTCCGTTCTTCCATCTAACTCTTGTCCGAAGATGAAGGAATTTGATTCAAACTTCAGAGAGAAGTGAGTGGAAGTGCCGTGTCCAAGAACCATAGCTCTACCTTGCTTTCTTTTTAAATTATTTTCCATAAATTAAAAATGCTTGACCGATGTATAACTTCTAAACTAGCTATGCTATCTTACACAAATTCTTCTCGAAGGTAGGCAGGTTTTATAACCTCTGACCCCAATCTCAATTTTCTTTTTTATTTAGTTAGATGCCCATTATTTTCGCGTTTAGATACAGTTAACATATCAAATAATATTCAATAAAGAATATTGGAACCACCCAAGCACCAAAGGAGACAAGATTGAAGTTGGAAGAAATAAAAAACATAAATGCATAGAATGTCGTTCTGAACTATCTTCACGTAATGGCACGAAAGTGTCAAACTAGAGGTTCGTAAGGGAAGGTCTTCTGATGTTCATAAATATAATGTTAACATATTCGAAGTATTGAATTCTGTTTGTGCCGGCTTATATCAAAGGAGTTCCACAGAGGTTTAAAAGTATAAAACTTTAAAATTAAATAAAACCCAACTGATTATTCAATTATTTTGCAATATTTCTTTGAAACGGAAACAATAAAAAATAATAATAAAGGAGAAATATTATGCGCAGGAATTGAGTAGTTATTGCCATTTAAAGTCTAAGTTAACCGTTTTTTATTTTTTTCCACTTTAAGGTTCATTTTGAGTACAATATAAAAATTGTATTGTCTAGAGAAAAATGTTGCACGCAAGTGATTTGCGTCATGACTTACACCTGCCGGGAAAGACAGGAACAAGCTTTGAAAGTTGTATCTTGCCATCTTGCCACCAAAATCTCAAAAATATTTATCCAGGACCCCTCTTGTCAGAAATCCGCATTTATTAATCATTAAAACGGGAACATTATGAAAGGTTAAATGTTGCCTCTTAATTGTTTCTGCTCGTCGAAATTGAACATATCACCTTGGACATGAATATCCAATCTCAGGCTTCAGTTAGATACAAAATCTTTATATACGAATTCTAAAACACCAACCATGTCTGATTCCAGAATGTGGCGTATATCTTCCTATTACGAGCTTACCCCCTTTTTAAAGAAAGATTGCAAATTGACCTAAACGTTAAACGAACCTTTTTAGAGCAGTACTATATGAATCAGCTCGTTATTGCAAATTTTCTTTTCGTTTTGAGCAAAGATCATTTCAAACTGGAGAGTAGTCCTGTTACCATATGGTCGATTATAAATCATATACAGAGTAATTTATTAATAATCCTCAAATTTTTTATGAATTATATTGAAGCATGCTAAAACTTAATAAGCTAACCTTATTACATGTATTTAAATGGAAATAGTTTAATTCAATAATGCTTGTATTAATGCATAATTTATATACATAAGAGTTGATCTAAAAATGGAACGTCCAATCGTCATTAAGTCTGGCTACCATTACTGTTCACGCTTGTATTTACTGAATACAACGTTAGGGGCTTAAATTTCAAAACAGTGAAATTATCAAAGTGTAATTTCACTGTTTCAACAGTGAAATTTACCAGTTTTATTATCACTGAATATATTTCTAGTAAACCACCCCGAAAAGCATGTTAAACTAATAAAGGGAGATATAAGAACGGCGACGAGTGCACATTGTTGTAGAATAATGCACGCTTCGGGCCCCGTTACTTTGTTTATAAAGAAAAAAATCCGATAGTGTTAGACATGTACAGTAAAACGCTCAAAAAAACACCAACCAATCTGAACTGGACGAAACAGTGGTCTTAATTCGCGGGTTGGTTCTTAATTATGGATACTCTTATCATTGCTTCCATGGTCAAATTATGATTGTAGTTGTTTTTTACTACTGTTGATCTCCCTTTTACTATCAAAAAAAAATAACGCGCGCATATAGTTTACGTCCCCTTGCATCAATTATAATTTTTTGATTTATGCTATAAAGCGACACGTTTTGTTTGTCAGTTGAAAACATGGCCTCCAAACAAGCGAGAAGTAGTTGTTAGAATTATTCTAATGAGGAATTTGTTTCTTTGCAGGATGTGTTGTATGCATTTAACAATAGTTTAAGTGAAGAACAATCTTGGGCGGTTTGTTATCAGTGTGCACAATATTTTGAGCAAAATCCGTCCCAGGAAGTTTTTAGAGATATTTATTATTATGGAATTATTGCTATTCGGTTATCAAAAGAAGGAGATATTAAAATAGAAGTAAACTTCAATCAGGGTTCTGGAAAAGGTCCCCCTAGTGAGTATTTGTCGAATTATTAACAATTTATACTTCTTGAAAGGGTTGACAAATATCTGGGTATTAAGTAACGTGTGAAAAATCTCCAGTGCGTTTTATTATTAATTTTATCATTATGTTTTCGTTATTTTTGATAGTAAATCCTGTGGCAATTTATGGTACAAAACTATTCAGATTGCAACATCGTGTATAAGCAGATTTTGATTCTCGTCGACTCGTACCCATCACAAGATACCATAGTTATAGAGGAACATTTTAGGGATGGGCGGGGAGGCAGGGGGAAATTATAGTTCATGGCTTATATTTGTGCTTGGTAAATATATTATTAAATATGTATATAGGATAGCTTTACTCGTCTGAATGCTAATATGTTTACATATAATAATTGTTACTAAAAACTTTTTTTATAATAATAAATTATTAACTAACAGGTGGTACTGTATTTAGATGGAAAGGGTAATTTTAAGTTTTAGTACTTGGGGTTTGTTTCTGTGTTATAAAAATTTAAAAACTGTAATTTGATCCAATAAAAAAATGCAGTTAAACCATTGAAAACAATTCTTAAATATATTATAAATTCAATCAATTATTAAAAGTGGTGCCATTATTTCACATTTTCCCAATATATACTTGTATGAATTGAATTTAAGATTAAAATTTCAATGTTAATGACATTAAGAATAAATAGGAAATTTTTAAATTTTGCATGTTCTAACTCATTTTCAAAATGTTTGGGAAAAAATAAGGGAAAAATCTAAAAAAATTGTGAAGAAAAACCAATTAAATTTTTTAATTAAAAAATAATATTGGGCAAAATATCCCTTAGTTTGATATGATTTGATTACATTTTTCTTTTTTTTATTTTAACTCATTAAAGTGATAAAATTTTGTACAGAAATAAAAATAATATAATTAAAATATGACCATTTTTGCTATCTGAGGTTAGGTAAATTATGTTTGATTTAATACATTGTAAGTGTAAATTTAACCTGCCAGTAGAACAGGTCCTAGAAAATTTTATACTGACACCCACTGAGCAATTCTTTCCTTCGTTGAGTGAGCAAAATTATGGCTTGTGTTATGTTTTGGGAGATTCATCTACCCATAGATATTTATTCTTTAAGAAAATGTAGATGGGTCAGAGATAAAAATATTTTAACCTGATGTAACTTTTAATCCTATTCTTTTGACAAAAAAGATCAACAATTTCTTTGTACAAATACTTATTCATACAATTTCTTTATCTAACTGACCATTTACTAATTACTAATAACATAAAAGGGTTTTAAAGAGCTACATTTCTCAATCCGGTGAAAGTATTTGGCCTTGCTTTGAAGGCGATAACTTTTGTAAGAGGATTTATGAAGAATTCGAATACACAAAAGGTCTTTCTGTGTCTAATTCAGCTTTAGAAATTTGAAAGTGAAGATTAAAAAGGTCATCTATGTTTTGAAATAACGAATAGTGAATTGATAGTTTGGTGTCACTAAAAAGGCATATATATGTATAATATATATTTATTACATGCTTTTCGGTGGTTTATATAAATATATCAGTGATATAAAACTGGTAATTTCACTGTTTGAAACAGTGAAATTACCACTTTGATAATTTCACTGTTTTGAATTTAAGCCCCTTACGTGGTTTCAGTGAAATACCAGCGTGCACAAAACTGGGTACCAACTTAATGACGTGACGTCGTAAATGACGTCACGGTTTATTATTATTTGGCGCGCTTTTTCATTCAGTATTAGGTTTAATGTAATTTTAAAAACGTTTCTTTGCATATAATAAAAAGAAAATTTGTTTAGTTTATTGTAAGATAAAATATATTTCACCTTGTGAACACCAAAAGTTCATATTTCACTCGTGGCTGCGCCACTCGTGAAATATACCTTTTGGTGCTCACTCGGTGAAATATATTCCGATCTTACACTGAACTAAACAAATATCCTCTATATAAATGACAAGAATTTATGTTATAATGCTTTATTTTAAGTAAAAACTGTGCCTGCACGGCTGCCAAAACAAATATTTAAATAGAACAAAAATCAAATGTTGCAGTCTTCAGTTGTTACTTGCTTTTTAAATTTATATTTGTTAGCCACTCATAGGTCAATAATTCTGTAAATTTTATTTGAAGTTATTTTTTTTGTTATTTGACATTACGACATTTTTATAATCGATTAACAAAATGTACCTGTACATGTATATGTACCATGGTAAGCCAGTAAATGTTTTTTTTCTTTAAATTAAAGGCAATGGATGGAAAGATTATAGTGTGTGAAAGGCATTTTGTCATAGGCTTATTTAGTTTGACATAGTATACTAACCGTCACTGTATACATATAAGTTTTACATATATGCATATTATGATAAGTAGGAGGTCTTTCATGCCAAAAAACATCATATTGTGTGCTATTATGGCATGTGATCAGCCTTCAGGCTATAGGGGTACCCTGGTTTCTTGTCTAGAAACTTCTAGAGTAAGGAGATATGATAATCAAACTTGATATAGTTATAGCAAACTTACTGTATGTGGAGTTAGCCTTCAGGCTATAGGGGTACCCTGGTTTCTTGTCTAGAAACTAGAGTAAGGAATAAGATATGATAATCAAACTTGATATAGTTATAGCAAACTTACTGTATGTGGAGTTAATACATTGGATTGCTACTTTGGTTTGCTTTTGGTCTTGCCAAGCTCAACATCACTCAGTTGCTAAAAATATAAAATTAAAATGGTTTCCTATTTGAAAACCTGGTCTCACGGGTTTGCCATGATTCTCACGTAATCTTTGGAATCTTAGACATTGATGATTTCATTGAAGTTAAAACATTGTAACCAAACCAACACGTATCACTGACACAGCTGTGTAAGGTAATTTACATATAAATGAAAAAAGCTTTGCGTGTTTTTTTGTATAAGGTTTTGAAATGTAATTAAAAGCGATTGATGTATTGTAATTTGATATATTAACAATTCAATCTGTTGAATAAATGGAAATGTTATACAGGAAAAAAATTGTGTATTAACATATGATATATAGTCATATGTAAATGTATGTGTATATATTGTTTGTTATATATATGAATATATATATATTAAGTAGAAAGATAGAAACTGAACAGCTGCTGTTAATAATGGATGACAAATAATTACATTGTTCTACATCAAAGTGAAGATCTCATCCAGCGTAGGATCTTGTGCCAGAAAGCGTGAAGCATTCAGTATGCCAACATGTTGCCTATGGTACATCATATTTTCCGGCAATGATAAGCGCTTAATTGAAAACAAAAAACATTGACAATCACATCTCATAACTTTGATCATGCACAATGAATTCCATCAGTTGGTAAATCTGATAAGATGTTTCCATGTATACATGTATATCAAAGAATTAAGTTAGAAACAGTACTGGGTTTGAATTTATCTGTCTATTTAATGGGGATAATTATGTCAGGGTATTTGAATTTCAATGAAAATTGTATCACTTTAAACCCTTTCCACTGCACCGCTGTGGGTTCAAATCCCTACAGGAGCTTTGAATTCTTTCATGAGCTAGCTTAAAAAAGTTGAGTGTCTGAGTTGTGTCTGAAATAATGCACGCACAAAGAGCACCTGAGGTCTTCCTCCACAAGTAAAGCTGGAAAGTCAACATAATTATTATACTTGGTTGGCACAGTGACTTAAAACCCAACACCTTCCAATTAAAACAATCACAGGATTGTCATGAATTTTTTTTCTGAGGTGGTCTCTTTTGAATATGAGGTGGTTATTTTAGTAGCTTTTGTCATAACCAAAAATTTCTTTTAAAATCCCACAGTGTGTCATACAAGTTTATGTTTAAACTTAATCAGATTTTTTTCGTTGTTACTTTCAAATGTAAATAATTTGTGCACATGTATAGTTGTATATACTATTTAAAATGTTCTAGTTTTAATCCATCATGCAAACAACCTAGACAATCCTTGTTATTTCGTACAATTTGTTCATTATCCTCCTTTGTTAGGAATAATCAGTAAAATCAACATCTTTTAACCATTATTGAAGGTAACATGCAATAAAGTGCTATATTTCTGTGCATGTGAATAGCAGTTAAAACAGTTTAGCTTAAGCACCAGTTTACTGTGCATTTTTTCCCCATTATTTACCATTTATTCAATTATTGCCTACTTTCAACTTGTGGGATCAGTAACTATTGGTGTGGGAGAGATTTGAAAATGCTGGTAATTCTTAAATAAGTGACATTGTTGCTCCAGTTATTCTCTAATAAGTGACATTTTTGGCTTCATTAACAGGCTTGAAAATAAATATACATGTATATAAAGAAATGAATTTAATATCAGTTGCCACTTGCCACTTTGATGTCTTTTTTATCTTTAAATGGTAAAAAATTTAAAAATTCTGATACTGTAACTGATTCGGATAAATAATTAAGTGATTCGGTCAAACCATAATTTTTAAATAACCATTGTTCATAAGAATGATTTGAGTCTTCAACATAGCTATTGTATATAAATCAATCACTGTAAGATTCAATGTGTACCCTGTCTTGCAAGTAACTTCCGATCACTGTATCTTAATTTTTGGGAGCCTATATATTTTAACTTGTACCTTAATCTTGTGATAACAGGAAGTAAGACATGTTTTTATACTGTGATCAAATTCATCACCATGTACCAAAATAATTACCATATAAAAGTGCTTATAATTAATTGTATTTGATTAATATAATTTAAAAACAAAAGCTTAAAATTAATGATAAATACAAAGGCAAAGTTCCTGTAAGTTAATACTATAGAATGAATGCTTTAAAAAGCTTTTGTAACCTTGGAAATGCATATGACTTATTTAAAACCCAAATTAGGGCAATGATCATGTTCAATGACATTCTTTCATGTGAACAAGTTGGGTTCAAACAACAAAACCACATGTTATCATCAGTTTTACATTATGACACTTCACCTTTTATACAATTGTCGGATACCTTAAGGCATTC